GGAATCCCTCAACCAGATAACAACTATGATCTTACTTTCTAGAAAAGAGATAAAAGGAGTATTTCCCTTCATGGAATGTCCCTGCATGTTAGAAACATGCAGGGACAATCCATTGATTACTGACACCGTGCTGTGACGTAACGCAACGCGTTTATGCATGAACGTCCCAGTTAAAAAAACCGGCTGTGGCGCTTCTCCCATTAACTTTTGCCACAAGCAATATGTGACCTATGTATTTTCACTCTCTGTGTAAATGTATCGCGGTATATTTGGCGATTTGATTCTTTATCTATATATGGTTATCAGGTTCATATGGACTGTAGGCTGGCGAGCGCAGTCAACACAACACACAACAGCACACGCCATTCACGACAAACAAATATTATGCTCCATTCTTACCTGCAGTGAACTATGATTGGCTGTGTCTGCTCCCTGGATGTGACCTTCACCTTGCTAATGAACTCCAGTAGAGCGGAAGTGTCTGGTACGCCATGATCCGGCCAGCTGGTGAAGTGGAGGTGCTCGAGACACAGCTTCTTGGCAGCCTAAATACAGAGTGAAATTGTTAGTAGAATAATGTATTAGTCAGTGTTTATCATGTTTCACTAATGGATATTTGGCAATTCAAACTTTTAATAAAACAAAGTTATATTATACCTGATTGTGTTGCACGGAAAGCTTAGTGACCGTGTAGTTTGCGAAGCGTGTCTGGGTATCCATGGTTACCGATATGTCCCCGTACGTCTCTGTACCTTTCTCCGGCCAATAACGAAGGCACTTCATCTGCGTTTAAATGTAATTACTTCGATCAAACAGACAACGAATATTCCCCAACACTAACGTTATAAATATAAAACGTCAAGGACAAAGAATAACCAGTCTTCAATATCTACCGAAACAAATTCCACTGGGCGTAATCGGCAAAATAGCTGTGAAATATACATAAACTAACGAGCAAAAGAAACGCCACCAAACAAAACATACGCAGCAGTTGATGTTTCATTATGAAAAAACAATTATTCAAAAACGGCATTTGAAAATGTCAAGATAAAAAAATATGTACTTAAAGTTCTGCAGACATGTTTATCATACTGTGTGTACTGTCAACTATTCGATCAGACACGACGAATCAACGTCGATCTCTTTGAAAGTCCCGTGCTACACATAAGGCTCAGTATCGGATGGGACCCCTCTAGCAACGATGCAGGCCCTAACACGACATCGAACTGAGTACACGAGTCTCCTGACATCTTGATTTGGGATCCTACGCCATTCTTCTTGCAAGGCATCACTCGTCAATGGCGGCTGTCGACGTTTCCGAATCCTGCGTCCAAGTTGGTCCCAAAGCTGCTCTATGGGCAGGTCCGGTGATCTGGCTAGCCACTGTAATATTTTCACGTTGTTGGCGTTCAGAAGGACGCAAGTGACTCGAGCTGTATGAGGGCTTGCGTTGTCCTGCTGAAAAAGCGTCCATGGGTGTCTTTGGAGGAAAGGCAGTATCACAGGCCGCAAAACCTCATCAATGTAACGGCGTGCAGTGAGATTTCCGTCGAATAATGACCAGATCTGTCTTCTGGTCCCCTCTGATGCCAATCAAGACCATGACACTACCACCTCCATAAGGCTCCACTTCTTGGACGCAACAACGTGGCGTCCGTTTACCACGTCGTCTGTAGATTCGAACCCGCCAATCAGACTTGAAGAGCTGGCACCTACTCTCGTTGCTGAAGAGCACTCTTCACCAATTTCTGTGCTGTCACTGCTGTACAGTCCTGGCCCATATCAGTCTGTGACGTCGGTGTAGAAACGTTAACGACATGCCTTTGAAAGGTCGATAGGCACGGAGACCATACAGGCGGAGTCGTCTAGCAACGGTCCTGGCTGGATGTCCAAGGCTGTTTGCGGATGATGACATCAAAGTTGGGAATCTGAACCTCAGGTGAAGCACCCGTAAATGCCGGTCTTCCCGTGGGGTCGTGACCTTGGGTCTTCCAGTCCTCAGCCTGTCTGCAGTACTGCCAGTTTGCCTGTGACGTGTGACAAGTCTGGCGATGGTGCACTTAAAGCAGCCCATGATCCTGGCAACGTGCTTCTGCGTCACTCCCATTTGCAACATACCGATGGCTCTCTCCCTCTGCTCAGCGGTTAGTCGAGGCATATTCGTTGTTTTAAACGGTTTCGTGTTATGACAGAGTACAATCTTGCTCATTTATATACCAGAATTTCATACAGGTAACTTTGTGCACAATTTGCATTTTTTAGTGCTTATAAATTCACTTTTCTCCCAAATCACGTGAAGCACTTGCACATGTTCACAGAGAATAGGTAAGTTGCATTCCAGCTATGTGTTCCCACCTGTTTTCGTGCTGTTTGGCAAATTTGTTAAAAGCGGACGACCATTATTTATTTGGTGGCGTTTCGTTTGCCCCTCATGATCAGTTTATTTGGATCACTGAAAATCAGTGATGATACCATGTGCTAGCGAAAAGTAACGTTTGCATGCAACCACATTTTATGTAGACTATATTGGATTGATTGTTTCCATTTGTCCCAGGTACAGCAACTTCCCCTTTACGGTTGTATTGCATCATCGTTACATATAAGGAGAAGTTAAAATTCATTGCTCAGATGCAATGTTACACTCGGGTATCCGATATTGCATTGTCATATCATGTGTTTAAGTGGGTGAGTGAGCTTTTGACACTATTTCAGTTATTTTCAGGAAAGCCCGACGTGATGCAGGTACGGACGTATATTATTTTGGTGAAACGCTCGAGAATGGGTTTGTTGCACATCGTGTTGGTAACTTTGTAACCATCAGCCATGTGTCGAATTCTTCTAAAGTCGGTGTAACAGAAAATACACGTGACAGCATCACCAATATAGCATCATCACCTTGCCTGCCTCGATGAGACCAGTTACCATGACAACGATTCTGCATTCTTCCTGCCAGATCATCCCCCAGAAGTTATTCACAACCTCAAGTTTGTAGGGCCCTGTGAACGATATCAGCTCTTTCAGTACTTTGATATAAGCAACGCACTAAGTGCCCTCATTCACGCAACATAAAAACATATTAAATAAAAGTGACAAAACGATTTCCATAATCAAAATAAACCTCTGCTAAAAGAGGAGTCCGTTGTTTGATTCCGACTATGTCATAATCGTGTGAATCATGAATCACTATCAATCAGTGGTACCAGGTGTTCGTGAGGTGAGCGTGTCTTGACCCATCGGTGGAAAAACAACCATTGATGTACCAATAAATCATACCTTGTGCTGCGATGTAGCGCCTTTCGATGTTGTATCCCTACAAAATATATTTAGTGGTGAGGGTTGAAACCAAACCAAAATCACACTGCACATATATTATCATTTATAACAAATAGTGACACGATACGGAGGGCTATGATTATGATCGAACACTAAACCATGATCTACCACACTGAGTATATATTGTAATTGATAATAAAACGATACGATAGGTTACACATGTTTGGTCATACTGTAGCACTTAACACTCACGTCCACATAGCTGGCGTTGATGTAGTCTCCTCCACCGCCGCTGTTGTCGTCATGCAGCACCACACGGTTGTAGTCGTCTATACAAAGACACACCACCAGACAACTTGTACCCTGATTTTCTCGTGTTGTCTCATGCATTATAATAATAGTATAAACGAATTATGCTTTGCAAGCGTGGACATATATACATTTTGTTTCTTTTTCAGTCAACGTCTCACTTGAATTATCAACTATGCACTTACACTGAATATTTGTTTTAGCTCCACACTGTAACATCTATGTCTGCGGACATGCAAAATAAGGTTTCTGCAGTTGTGATACTTTTGCACTCAGAAGCTGAGATAGGATTTCAGCTAACCAGCAGATATTAATGATGCATGTATATGTCATTGTTTGTATACTAACAATTCGAAGGTATTGTCGTATTTTATTTTTTAGTGTTTTTACTTAAGTAGGATATTGCTGATACATCACTAATATTCACGAAGAAGAAGCAGACAAACTATCTCAGCTAATCAGGATACCTTATGCCATTTGTATATATATTCACATTGCAAATGTTTTGCTTGTTTTATGGTTATGTCTTTACTACCTCAGCTTGATATAAAACAAAAACAGGTAATGAGACGTTAATACTTAGCAAACTTACACGGGTAGTAGCCTTTAAATCTATTCTTCCCTCTGTTTTCCGGCAGCTGAGATTCTTGGTGGGTGTGCATGAAACCACCAGGCAACCCCTGAAAGTAACAAAACACACCAGTAGCCGATCAGTGCCTGACGCTCCTGTCACCTTTAAAACTTTTATCAAAACAAGAGAATTGACCTGAACATTGCATCTCCTCCTGCCATTATCAAAAAGTCATAACATACCTGAAACTCCTCCTCAGCTTCCTCCGGCCGTTCCACCATTCGCCGAACTTTGACCTCCAACTCCGACAATGGTGTCGCTCTACCCATCCCCACTTCCCCAAAGTTGTAGTAGTTCCTGTCCTGAAGATCCACAGCAGCATCTGGTCCAAGGACAGGGGGGTCATAGTCTTCCTCGATCACAATGATGTGTTGCAGCGACTGGCTTAGTTCACCACTTCCCCCATCTCCTTCTACTTTGTCTCTCACTTCGTTCTCACCTGAGAACACATGACACACAAACTAGTCCGATCTCAGACTAGCAAACCATGTAAGTAAAACTCCAAGATTATAAGTAGTTAGTCATAACTAGAATCATAAGCACAGAAGCAAAACGAAAGTGGATAGGTATGCATCACACACAAATTGTTTGCGTTAATAGACAATGCTTACCGCGGTTTTCCGATGTAGATTTACAATTATTCCTTTGGCCAACAACACGTTTTGGCAACGATGCTGCTGGCTGTTTTCTCCTTTGTCGTCTGGAAATATGAAGAGAATTTACAAACATAAGCAACATGTAAAGTACTGCTGGCAACAATTAAGGGTTTTGAAAACATTGTACTTACACCAGCAATACCGTGATGATGACGAACAGCAGAAGTATCACAGCAGCGGTTGCACATCCCACAATGGTAGTCACAGGTAAGGTTTCCTGAACTTGAATAACAGAGAAGTATTATGGGGTAGGTATTGTCTGATTTTAAGTAAAGATGAATTTTAGATGCTTGAATGAATGAGTCAGAGAGTCAAGCAATATAACATCTATAAGGCGTCCAAATCCAGTCACCTGCTTGTGATTGCCTCTACTTGATATCGGATCAAGTTGCAGTCCATAGTCCCCTTTTAGATAATATTAGCTAGAAGTTATCCGGGATCAAACATTTAACAGAGACTCTTATCTGGATTTCCTGATCAAAGTGATAAAAAAAATGAAAATATAGAACTTAAGTTATAGTAACAATTGTTGCATATGTAACAGCAATCCAAAGCAGTATATGCATCATATGCAAAATATTCATCTGTTTCTTTTATACATATGAATTGGAATTTCTGCTCGGGTTGGCAAAGTCAAAGCAAGGCCATGTGGCTATAAAGTTTAACTTAAACTTCAGAGATATCATTAATCAGCTATCGTTCAATGACGGTCACTCAGATTTATCCACCTGAACTAGAAATAAAGGAGACCAGTGAAAACGCCTCAACGCTTCATATTTAGATCGATGCATAATGATTCGGTGGGACAAACTATTCTCCACAAGAGACTGAATGACAAGAAGGATCACCTAAAAGTTCCAATAGTGCGCTTCCCCTTTTTTATTTCTGTCATATAATAATGTAAACGCTGGACAATAGTCTTGGTTATCTAACGAAACAGATTTTACTGGGTGTAAAAGGCAAAACAATGGTGAAATTATACTGAAAATCAGTGATGGCACAAGGTGTTCGTGAAAAGGGAAGCATTTCGTACCCTACCGCCAACACCCGTCACTCCCACAATTTGCGTGTTTGTTAGCCGACACTGCAACAGCAGTACTCATGCCGTGAGACGGCGGCATGAAAACAAAAGCAAGATTTAAACAGCTCCAACATTTAGTGTCTATATTTCACAGCTTTTGGGGTAAAGTAGAGCATGCTCTTTCTACGAGTGAGTAAGTAAGTTGGGTTTACCGCCGCTGTAAACAATATCTCATAAATAAGATTTCAATCAGCGTCATAGGGCTCTTGCTAAAACATATTTGATCAGGGTTACGACATTCAAGGCCACAGTTAAACGTTCAAAACGTTATATGGAAGACAATTTGGCATTTCCGAATTTGACCGATCAGAGACCTGAACGATGTCCGATGCCATTCTTCATTTTGACCTCTACCATATGTTCCTGAGTTTTTAGTGTGAACACTTAACTTGTATGTCTTCGTGACGGGTGCCACATTTCTAGGCGCCCAAGTTTTTGCGAACACTCGATGTTATAATCACGATGACAAGGGACACGTTTTGCAGGCATGATCCAGATATGTCAGATTATATCCACAGTAATATTATGTACTATTGGTACAGAAATGAAATAGTGAAATGTTGACCGTGTTCTGAAATGTAAGGACAGAATATCGTCCAAAGAATTAAACCTTCTTACCATCTTCAGTGATGAAATCATATTTTCGTTAGTTTCATACAGGTCAGACAATATAGTTCAACACACATGCTCTCTAATTAGGTTCCTGTTTCTGAGGAGATATAAGTCTCCAGTAGTAGTTGTATGATAATGATGAGCGAAATGGGAACCCAGCACAACCGGTAGTGAAGTATGACCGTAGATGTTATGGCCGCCAACGATCGTGAAGCCGATAGAGGTAAGATGTGAAATTTCAAATTTGACGTTTTTGGATGAGTAGTGTGTAGATCCGTAGATGCGTTTTAGACGCTGCATCGCTAGTTCATCCAGAAACAATGAATGAAATCGAGTTAATCACAATTGTATGGAAAGCAGAATCAATAAGATTGACAGAAATAATGGTCCATAGAGATTAGATGACTTTCTGTGATAATGACACCCCACGCGAGTGTGTAGGGCTGCTCGGAGCGGTACGCGCAAATTATCGGATGTGTTTTTTCGTGTTTTACAGACATAAACGTTTTTGCATGGGATGTCGCCTACACTTTATTCTAGCCCTTGGTATTAATATAACCGTTGCCCCTTTAAGTGTACATTGAACAACATGGTCATTGTTCAAAATGTGTCATTAATATAAGATATGACTGGGTGAAACTACACTACGTGGCAGTAAGACCTCCTCGCCAAACGCCACATGCTGTGCTACAGGAAGACAAGGTACAGGACGTGCATATTTACCCCTTGTGCAGTCTTCACCTGTCCATCCGGCCTCGCATCCGGGTTCACACTTCCCAGTCACGTGATGACATGGCGAAGTTCCCTTACAGTTCCTTTCCTGACATTTGTCCGCGCATGCGTCTCCGTAAGTTCCATTGCTACATTCTGCGAATATACAATGAAGGTAGTAGTGGCACATTGATGCCTTTTAGATCATTGAGTTGGGTGCATTAGAAAGATATCAGAATAGTCCAGAACTAGGACTGGAAATGTTCGAGAATGGTGGTTGAAAGAAACTATTAAGTACATTGCATGGCATATTTTCATTTGGTGCAATCACTTTCTCTCCACCCTGGTTGGCATATAGCGACACACGACCCGGTATTACGGAAACATGGTGTGGTGCCAGCTGCACACTGTCGTCCTGCACAGGTTTTGTTACAGTTTATTCCATAGATACCCTACCAAACAGATGGGATTGACATGAAAAGGGAAAAATAATGTTTCATAGTGCATAAAGTGGTATTTAAGGGTGTCATAAACATGGTGTGTTCATGATGAAAGTTAAGGTTATTAGTGTGTGAATCGGATGTGTAAACATCATCACAGAATCCCATTTCTTTCCAATACGAAGATGACTTTTTGCTGTAACCACAAATATACAGATTTGACTAAAATGAATGAAATATGCCATATGCTCCGAAGGCACATTAAGCCATACCTGTGGCATAACGGGGCTAAAAGGAAGATCAATTTAAAGATGTGATATCTACAGAATGAGATCAAAAGTGTGGCCCCTCAAAGTTTATATTGAATAACATAGGACTGGCAACATCGTCATTTTTGAAAATGTGTCATTAAGATAATCATCATAATTTGTGTGTGATGAATTGGCCAAATATGCTATTTCAAACATGATCACCATGGTGATGATTTATATACTGAACCGCAAAAGAAATGTCTCCATGGATAGATTTATGAGAAACCCTATTTGTCCAAACACTGTAAACATACTTTGAGTCATATTAAAAAGATGAAACTTGGCAAAACTGATCATCAAGGTTGAAATTAAAGTGTCAAATGTTCTTAAAGTCAAACACAACACTAGTGTCTGAGAAAATGGCATCACAAGTCAGTATCTCGTGTGTCCGCCACGTGCATTGATGACTGCCGTGCAACGTCGATACATTGAATGGATGAGGCGGTTGATGAAGTAGGCACTTGAGCTCACACTCTGAGGAACGCCTGACGCAGTTCAGCTGCAGTTGTCGGCCTTGGTCGGACGTCATTCAGCCGTCTTTGAATCTGGTCCCACAGGTGCCCAATGGGATTTAAATCGGGTATGAGGGCAGGCCACTACATAGTTCTGATGTCATTCTGCTGGAGGAAGTCTCTTGTTGCTCTTGCAGTGTGGGCACGGGCGTTATCATGCTGAAAAATCGTGGTTGCGGCGACGTGTCAAATGAGGTATGGCTGGTTGTCTCAGACTTGATCAATGTACCGAGCTGCTGCACCATTGCCTCTCCCTGGACCGATGTTCTGGAAGACCACAGGGCCAACCCTCTGTGCAAGACCAATTTCACCCGACACCATAATGCTCGGACGACCCCAGGAGTCTCTCTCAACAACACAAGCATCCAAATAACGTTTCCCACGGCGTCGCCAGACTCTCTCTCTCTGCCATCTGCTGTTGAGATCATGTAACGGCTCTCGTCTGAGAAGAGGACTCTTCTCTACTGCTGGTGGCGCCAGTGCTGGTGCTGTGTTGCCCACCGAAGACGGTCCCGGCGATGACGTGGTGTCAAAATGGGTCCTTCGGTGTGGCTTGTGACAGTGGAGGTGTCTGCTCGTCAATCGTCAACGCACGGTGTCCACACTAATGTGTCGCTGGTGTGTCGCCATGGTCTCTCGAGCAGTTTCTGCAGCAGTAACAAAGCGATCTTGAAGATGCCGTCGCACAATCTGACGATCCTGACGTCGGCTTGTGACCCTTGGTCTTCCACTACGTGGTCGGTCATCTGTAGTCATGGTGGTCTGGTACTGTTGCTGGAGCCGGGAAATTAACCTTACGTGGACTTGTAACGCATTGGCTACTTGCCGGGCGGTTTGTCCAGCTTGCAATCGTCCAAGGGCTTGGTGTCACTGATTTCTTGTCAATCTTGGCATGTGGTAGCAATTCAATAACGAATGAATGTTATCCGATCTGGTGGATTTTTATAGGGCAAGAAATGGGGGAACTCATGTGCATTTCAACTTGCACGGAAATCACATGCATCGGGTTACCATGGCCGTTGCCGTGATGCGTTTGGGCGATCGGTTTTATTGTTATCTGCTTTGTTTTTTATCATCAAGTTTCATTTTTCCGGACAAGGTAATGTTAAATTTTAGAAATTTTAACAAACATTATCCAGATATTTAAATGATAACTTATCATGCAATGTTGCTTTGAGTGACTTTTCTTTAGCGGTTCAGTATATATCTGCCAAAAGGTGGAGAACAAGGGCCACACACACCACTGACTGGGTGAAACATGAAGACAAGGCACAGTGTATGTAGACTTACGTCTTTTGCAGTCTTTACCCATCCATCCAGTCTTGCATCCAGACTCACACTTCCCCGTCACGTGATGGCATGGGTAAGTTCCCTGACAGTTCCGTTCCTGACATTTGTTCGCGCATGCTTTCCCGTAAGTTCCTTTGCTACATTCTGCAAATATATACTATAGACAAATAGTAGAGGGTAGTGGGAATCATCAAGACATATATTCTGATCAATATGGTATTGGCAAATGGAAACGATATTATCGCATCTGCTGGGGAGCAAGCGATCAGATCTAATTGGTGCTAATGGTAAGTGTGATGAGATGTACTGGGTCGTTTAAGAGGTCGGGGACAAATTCGAAATTTTGTATTGTGCAAAACACGCTATGTTGGTGAGACATGCACGGATTTTTCGACGTATTCTTCTGAAGAGTCGACAAATGCCACCTTGCAAATATGCAATCAATGTTATTACGAAAACATACCTTGTGTGCAGTCATCACCCGTCCAACCCTCGAGACATCCAGTGTCACATGACCCGTTGTAGCGGTCACATGATGAGTTAGTGTAAGCACACTTCCTCTCAGCACACGGTTTCTTGCAGTCGACACCATAGCATTCTGACATAAAGAGGATAAACATTTCGTTTTTGAGTGTGTATATTTTCATAATAAATTCAACATAACAAGCGCCTTAAAAGTGAGATAATGACTGGTTTTACGATTGTGAACTCTAAATGAGTGAGTGAGTGAGTGAGTTGGGTTTAACGCCGCTTTTAACAGTATTCCAATTATTTCACGGCGTGTCAGCTTAATGTGGGAGGAAAGCCCAAAGTGATGCAGGTCTCAGACGTTTACCACTTCGGTGAAACCCCCGAGCACGGGTATGGTGCTGACAAAACTAGAAACATAATCGGGGCGAACCGTTGTGAACTCTGATAACAAATATGCAATATGACTTAAATGTATCAAATCTGACATTTGAAATTTGGTTTCAGATTCATACTGAAGTCATCACCAAGATAGCCCGGAACATCATTGCGTATGTTTCTGTTTTATTAGTCTAACGCTTCCATGTTGACATCTCGCAGATATAAGATGGCTGAAAGCTGTTGTCCAGCCATTATGTAGCATGACATAGCTTGTAGCGGTGATCGATGCGCATTTGTTAATTTAAAGATATGAAATCTACAGAATGTGAGTAATATTATTTAACGTTCTACAGAGTTGCCCATCAAACTATATATAACATATATATATATATGTGACGGCCTCCTCGGTGTCACACCAGTGTCTGTGTCATGTCGTCTACCGTCTGAAGGACACACACCATTGACTACATCATACCACACTAACTGACAGTATTATGTCCTCAGTTTTATTACATCTGGGTCCCTGTATTTGGTTAAACTTAATTATAACTCTCTGCCACCCTGGTCTACAGTCTCCAGGACACACACCACTGACTGGGTCCCACTACACCTGTCAGTAAGACGGCCTCATCGGTGTCACACCAGTGTCTATGTGCCATCTCGTCTACCGTCTTAAGGACACACACCATTGACTACATCACACACCACACTAACTGACAGTATTATGTCCTCATTTTCATTACATCTGGGTCCCTGTATGTGGTCACGCTTAATCATAACTCTCTGTCACCCTGGCCGCGGGTCTCAAGATCATACACCACTGACTGGACAACATTTAACCTGACAGTGGGACCTCCTCACCTGTATCACACCTCTGTCCCTGCCACCCTGGTCTACAGTCTCCAGGACACACACCACTGACTGGACAACACTAAACCTGACAGTAAGACCTCCTCACCTGTATCACACCAGTCTCCCTGCCACCCTGGTCTACAGACTCCAGGACACACACCACTGACTGGAGAACACTACACCTGACTGTAAGACCTCCTGACCTGTATCACACCTGTCTCCCTGATAACCTGGTCTACAGTCTCCAGGACACGCCACTAACTGGGTCCCACTACACCTGTCAGTAAGACGGCCTCATCGGTGTCACACCAGTGTCTGTGTCATGTCGTCTACCGTCTTAAGGACACACATCACTGACTGGAGAACACTACACCTGACAGTAAGACTTCCTCACTTGTACCACACCGGTCTCCCTGCCACCCTGGTCTACAGTCTCCAGGACACACACCACTGACTGGATCACACTAAACCTGACAGTGGGACCTCCTCACCTGTATCACACCTGTCTCCCTGTCACCCTGGTCTCGAGTCTCCGATCACACACCACTGACTGGACAACACTTAACCTGACAGTAAGACCTCCTCACCTGTATCACACCGGTCTCCCTGCCACCCTGGTCTACAGTCTCCAGGACACACACCACTGACTGGATCACACTACACCTGGCAGTAAGACCTCCTCACCTGTATCACACCTGTGTCCCTGCTACCTTGGTCTACAGTCTCCAGGACACACACTACTGACTGAATCTCCTCACCTGTATCACACTCGATGTTATAATCACGATGACAAGGGACACGTTTTGCAGGCATGATCCAGATATGTTAAATTATATCCACAGTAATATTATGTACTATTGGTACAGAAATGAAATAGTGAAATGTTGACCGTGTTCTGAAATGTAAGGACAGAATATCGTCCAAAGAATTAAACCTTCTTACCATCTTCAGTGATGAAATCATTTTTTCATTAGTTTCATACAGGTCAGACAATATAGTTCAACACACATGCTCTCTAATTAGGTTCCTGTTTCTGAGGAGATATAAGTCTCTAGTAGTAGTTGTATGATAATGATGAGCGAAATGGGAACCCAGCACAACCGGTAGTGAAGTATGACCGTTGATGTTATGGCCACCAACGATCGTGAAGCCGATAGAGGTAAGATGTGAAATTTCAAATTTGACGTTTTTGGATGAGTAGTGTGTAGATCCGTAGATGCGTTTTAGACGCTGCATCGCTAGTTCATTCAGAAACAATGAATGAAATCAAGTTAATCACAATTGTATGGAAAGCAGAATCAATAAGATTGACAGAAATAATGGTCCACAGAGATTAGATGACTTTCTGTGATAATGACACCCCACGCGAGTGTGTAGGGCTGCTCGGAGCGGTACGCGCAAATTATCGGATGTGTTTTTTCGTGTTTTACAGACATAAACGTTTTTGCATGGGATGTCGCCTACACTTTATTCTAGCCCTTGGTATTAATATAACCGTTGCCCCTTTAAGTGTACATTGAACAACATGGTCATTGTTCAAAATGTGTCATTAATATAAGATATGACTGGGTGAAACTACACTACGTGGCAGTAAGACCTCCTCGCCAAACGCCACATGCTGTGCTACAGGAAGACAAGGTACAGGACGTGCATATTTACCCCTTGTGCAGTCTTCACCTGTCCATCCGGCCTCGCATCCGGGTTCACACTTCCCAGTCACGTGATGACATGGCGAAGTTCCCTTACAGTTCCTTTCCTGACATTGGTCCGCGCATGCGTCTCCGTAAGTTCCATTCCTACATTCTGCGAATATACAATGAAGGTAGTAGTGGCACATTGATGCCTTTTAGATCATTGAGTTGGGTGCATTAGAAAGATATCAGAATAGTCCAGAACTAGGACTGGAAATGTTCGAGAATGGTGGTTGAAAGAAACTATTAAGTACATTGCATGGCATATTTTCATTTGGTGCAATCACTTTCTCTCCACCCTGGTTGGCATATAGCGACACACGACCCGGTATTACGGAAACATGGTGTGGTGCCAGCTGCACACTATCGTCCTGCACAGGTTTTGTTACAGTGTATTCCATAGATACCCTACCAAACAGATGGGATTGACATGAAAAGGGAAAAATAATGTTTCATAGTGCATAAAGTGGTATTTAAGGGTGTCATAAACATGGTGTGTTCATGATGAAAGTTAAGGTTATTAATGTGTGAATTGGATGTGTAATTAAACATCATCACAGAATCCCATTTCTTTCCAATACGAAGATGACTTTTTGCTGTAACCACAAATATACAGATGTGACTAAAATGAATGAAATATGCCATTTGTAACTTGGTCCCGATTCTTAAACACAGTTAGCACTTAATATTTAAGTCTGCTCCGAAGGCACATTAAGCCATACCTGTGGCATAACGGGGCTAAAAGGAAGATCAATTTAAAGATGTGATATCTACAGAATGAGATCAAAAGTGTGGCCCCTCAAAGTTTATATTGAATAACATAGGACTGGCAACATCGTCATTTTTGAAAATGTGTCATTAAGATAATCATCATAATTTGTGTGTGATGAATTGGCCAAATATGCTATTTCAAACATGATCACCATGGTGATGATTTATATACTGAACCGCAAAAGAAATGTCTCCATGGATAGATTTATGAGAAACCCTATTTGTCCAAACACTGTAAACAAACTTTGAGTCAAATTAAAAAGATGAAACTTGGCAAAACTGATTATCAAGGTTGAAATTAAAGTGTCAAATGTTCTTAAAGTCAAACACAACACTAGTCTCTGAGAAAATGGCATCACAAGTCAGTATCTCGTGTGTCCGCCATGTGCAATGATGACTGCCGTGCAACGTCGATACATTGAATGGATGAGGCGGTTGATGAAGTAGGCACTTGAGCTCACACTCTGAGGAACGCCTGACGCAGTTCAGCTGCAGTTGTCGGCCTTGGTCGGACGTCATTCAGCCGTCTTTGAATCTGGTCCCACAGGTGCCCAATGGGATTTAAATCGGGTCTGAGGGCAGGCCACTACATAGTTCTGATGTCATTCTGCTGGAGGAAGTCTCTTGTTGCTCTTGCAGTGTGGGCACGGGCGTTATCATGCTGAAAAATCGTGGTTGCGGCGACGTGTCAAATGAGGTATGGCTGGTTGTCTCAGACTTGATCAATGTACCGAGCTGCTGCACCATTGCCTCTCCCTGGACCGATGTTCTGGAAGACCACAGGGCCAACCCTCTGTGCAAGACCAATTTCACCCGACACCATAATGCTCGGACCATCCCAGGAGTCTCTCTCAACAACACAAGCATCCAAATAACGTTTCCCACGGCGTCGCCAGACTCTCTCTCTCTCTGCCATCTGCTGTTGAGATCATGTAACGGCTCTCGTTTGAGAAGAGGACTCTTCTCTACTGCTGGTGGCGCCAGTGCTGGTGCTGTGTTGCCCACCGAAGACGGTCCCGGCGATGACGTGGTGTCAAAATGGGTCCTTCGGTGTGGCTTGTGACAGTGGAGGTGTCTGCTCGTCAATCGTCAACGCACGGTGTCCACACTAATGTGTCGCTGGTGTGTCGCCATGGTCTCTCGAGCAGTTTCTGCAGCAGTAACAAAGCGATCTTGAAGATGCCGTCGCACAATCTGACGATCCTGACGTCGGCTTGTGACCCTTGGTCTTCCACTACGTGGTCGGTCATCTGTAGTCATGGTGGTCTGGTACTGTTGCTGGAGCCGGGAAATGGACCTTACGTGGACTTGTAATGCATTGGCTACTTGCCGGGCGGTTTGTCCAGCTTGCAATCGTCCAAGGGCTTGGTGTCACTGATTTCTTGTCATTCTTGGCATGTGGTAGCAATTCAATAACGAATGAATGTTATCCGATCTGGTGGATTTTTATAGGGCAAGAAATGGGGGAACTCATGTGCATTTCAACTTGCACGGTACTCACATGCATCGGGTTACCATGGCCGTTGCCGTGATGCGTTTGGGCGATCGGTTTTATTGTTATCTGCTTTGTTTTTTATCATCAAGTTTCATTTTTGCGGACAAGGTAATGTTAAATTTTAGAAACTTTAACAAACATTATCCAGATATTTAAATGATAACTTATCATGCAATGTTGCTTGGGGTGACTTTTCTTTAGCGGTTCAGTATATATCTGCCAAAAGGTGGAGAACAAGGGCCACACACACCACTGACTGGGTGAAACATGAAGACAAGGCACAGTGTATGTAGACTTACGTCTTTTGCAGTCTTTACCCATCCATCCAGTCTTGCATCCAGACTCACACTTCCCCGTCACGTGATGACATGGCGAAGTTCCCTGACAGTTCCGTTCCTGACATTTGTTCGCGCATGCTTTCCCGTAAGTTCCTTTGCTACATTCTGCAAATATATACTATAGACAAATAGTAGAGGGTAGTGGGAATCATCAAGACATATATTCTGATCAATATGGTATTGGCAAATGGAAACGATATTATCGTATCTGCTGGGGAGCAAGCGATCAGATCTAATTGGTGCTAATGGTAAGTGTGATGAGATGTACTGGGTCGTTTAAGAGGTCGGGGACAAATTCGAAATTTTGAATTGTGCAAAACACGCTAGGTTGGTGAGACATGCACGGATTTTTCGACGTATTCTTCTGAAGAGTCGACAAATGCCACCTTGCAAATATGCAATCAATGTTATTACGAAAACATACCTAGTGTGCAGTCATCACCCGTCCAACCCTCGAGACATCCAGTGTCACATGACCCGTTGTAGCGGTCACATGATGAGTTAGTGTAAGCACACTTCCTCCCAGCACACGGTTTCTTGCAGTCGACACCATAGCATTCTGACATAAAGTGGATAAACATTTCGTTTTTGAGTGTGTATATTTTCATAATAAATTCAACATAACAAGCGCCTTAAAAGTGAGATAATGACTTGTTTTACGATTGTGAACTCTAAATGAGTGAGTGAGTGAGTGAGTTGGGTTTAACGCCGCTTTTAACAGTATTCCAGTTATATCACGACTTGTCAGCTTAATGTGGGAGGGAAGCCCAAAGTGATGCAGGTCTCAGACGTTTACCACTTCGGTGAAACCCCCGAGCACGGGTATGGTGCTGACAAAACTAGAAATATAATCGGGGCGAACCGTTGTGAACTCTGATAACAAATATGCAATATGACTTAAATGTATCAAATCTGACATTTGAAATTTGGTTTCAGATTCATACTGAAGTCATCACCAAGATAGCCCGGAACATCATTGCATATGTTTCTGTTTTATCAGTCCAACGCTTCCATGTTGACATCTCGCAGATATAAGATGGCTGAAAGCTGTTGTCCAGCCATTACGTAGCATAACGTGGCTTGTAGCGGTGATCGATGCGCATTTGTTAATTTAAATATATGAAATCTACAGAATGTGAGTAATATTATTTAACGTTCTACAGAGTTGCCCATCAAACTATATATAACATATAGATATATATGTGACGGCCTCCTCGGTGTCACACCAGTGTCTGTGTCATGTCGTCTACCGTCTGAAGGACACACATCATTGACTAGATCACACCACACTAACTGACAGTATTATGTCCTCATTTTTATTCCATCTGGGTCCCTGTATTTGGTTAAACTTAATTATAACTCTCTGCCACCAAGGTCTACAGTCTCCAGGACACACACCACTGACTGGGTCACACTACACCTGACAGTAAGACCTCCTCACTTGTATCACACCTCTGTCCCTGCCACCCTGGTCTCCAGTCTCCAGGACACACACCAATGACTGGAGAACACTACACCTGGCAGTAAGACCTCCTCACCTGTATCACACCTGTCTCCCTGCCACCTTGGTCTACAGTCTCCAGAACACACACTTCTGACTGAATCTCCTCATCTGTATCACACCTGTCTCCCTGGTCTACAGTCTCGAGGACACACACCACTGACTGGAGAACACTACACCTGACAGTAAGACCTCCTCACCTGTATCACACCTGTCTCCCTGGTCTACAGTCTCCAGGACACACACCACTGACTGGAGAACACTACACCTGACAGTAAGACCTCCTCACCTGTATCACACCTGTCTCCCTGCCACCCTGGTCTAAGGTCTCCAGGACACACACCACTGACTGGAGAACACTACACCTGACAGTAAGACTTCCTCACCTGTATCACACCTGTCTCCATGGTCTACAGTCTCCAGTACACACACCACTGACTGGGTCACACTACACCTGACAGTAAGACCTCCTCACCTGTATCACACCTGTCTCCATGGTCTACAGTCTCCAGGACACACACCACTGACTGGAGAACACTACACCTGACTGTAAGACCTCCTCACTTGTATCACACCTGTCTCCCTGCCACCCTGGTCTACAGTCTCCAGGACACACACTACTGACTTAATCTCCTCACCTGTATCACACCTGTCTCCCTGCCACCCTGGTCTACAGTCTCCAGGACATACACCACTGATTGGATCACACTACACCTGACAGTAAGACCTCCTCACCTGTATCACACATGTCTCCCTGCCACCCTGGTCTACAGTCTCCAGGACACACACCACTGACTGGACAACACTACACCTGACAGTAAGATATCCTCACCTGTATCACACCTGTCTCCCTGGTCTACAGTCTCCAGGACACACACCACTGACTGGATCACACTACACCTGACAGTAAGACCTCCTCACCTGTATCACACCTGTCTCCCTGCCACCCTGGTCTACAGTCTCCAGGACACACACCACTGATTGGATCACACTACACCTGACAGTAAGACCTCCTCACCTGTATCACACATGTCTCCCTGCCACCCTGGTCTACAGTCTCCAGGACACACACCACTGACTGGACAACACTACACCTGACAGTAAGATATCCTCACCTGTATCACACCTGTCTCCCTGGTCTACAGTCTCCAGGACACACACCACTGACTGGATCACACTACACCTGACAGTAAGACCTCCTCACCTGTATCACACCTGTCTCCCTGCCACCCTGGTCTACAGTCTCCAGGACACACACCACTGACTGGATCACACTACACCTGACAGTAAGACCTCCTCACCTGTATCACACCTGTCTCCCTGCCACCCTGGTCTACAGTCTCCAGGACACACACCACTGACTGGAGAACACTACACCTGACAGTAAGACCTCCTCACCTGTATCACACTTCTGTCCCTGCCACCCTGGTCGACAGTTACCAGGAGACACACCACTGACTGGGTCACACTACACCTGACAGTAAGACCTCCTCACCTGTATCACACCTGTCTCCCTGCCACCCTGGTCTACAGTCTCCAGGACACACACCACTGATTGGATCACACTACACCTGACAGTAAGACCTCCTCACCTGTATCACACATGTCTCCCTGCCACCCTGGTCTACAGTCTCCAGGACACACACCGCTGACTGGACAACACTTAACCTGACAGTAAGATATCCTCACCTGTATCACACCTGTCTCCCTGGTCTACAGTCTCCAGGACACACACCACTGACTGGATCACACTACACCTGACAGTAAGACCTCCTCACCTGTATCACACCGGTCTCCCTGCCACCCTGGTCTACAGTCTCCAGGACACACACCACTGACTGGAGAACACTACACCTGACAGTAAGACCTCCTCACCTGTATCACACCTGTCTCCCTGCCACCCTGGTCTACAGTCTCCAGGACACACACCACTGACTGGAGAACACTACACCTGACAGTAAGACCTCCTCACCTGTATCACACTTCTGTCCCTGCCACCCTGGTCGACAGTTACCAGGAGACACACCACTGACTGGGTCACACTACACCTGACAGTAAGACCTCCTCACCTGTATCACACCTGTCTCCCTGCCACCCTGGTCTACAGTCTCCAGGACACACACCACTGATTGGATCACACTACACCTGACAGTAAGACCTCCTCACCTGTATCACACATGTCTCCCTGCCACCCTGGTCTACAGTCTCCAGGACACACACCGCTGACTGGACAACACTTAACCTGACAGTAAGATATCCTCACCTGTATCACACCTGTCTCCCTGGTCTACAGTCTCCAGGACACACACCACTGACTGGATCACACTGCACCTGACTGTAAGACCTCCTCACCTGTATCACACCTGTCTCCCTGCCACCCTGGTCTACAGTCTCCAGGACACACACCACTGACTGGAGAACACTACACCTGACAGTAAGACCTCCTCACCTGTATCACACTTCTGTCCCTGCCACCCTGGTCGACAGTTACCAGGAGACACACCACTGACTGGGTCACACTACACCTGACAGTAAGACCTCCTCACCTGTATCACACCTGTCTCCCTGCCACCCTGGTCGACAGTCTCCAGGACACATGCCGGTGTTTTGTTCACAAGAGCTGCTGTGACAGTGACAGAACTTGTCACAAAATTCTCCGTACGTCCCAAGACTGCATTCTAAATAATACAACATCCCAGATAAGAATGGCTGAGTTGTTAAGCCATCGAGTTTATTACTATCACATATACGTCATATAGAACTCGTGAAAATATCTCCTTTCCCCTGAAGCATGATATTTACTCGACACATGGAAAAACCTGTTTATTATATACTTTTTGTGTTTAATTCTTTCATTACAAATTTAAAACCTTGAAACGTAAAATCTCCCTACCTAACACACAGGACGGTTCACCACCCCTTGTATTTGCGAGTAAATAAGCTGTCTCGTGTTTACAAAATCTTTAAAATATTAACAAAAGTAACATCAAATATTTAGGTCACGAACTTTGTGTATCATACATGTAGATATGATTATATACAAAAGCAACTCTAACAAAACATACTCTTGAAAACTGCGAGACACACTGGTCAAGTAACCAAAATGGCGCTTTGCCAAACGTAGAGTCTAGATTGACGAGTTAAATGAGAAATTTACCGTTAAAAACGAACCATTTTCAAGAGAATAACATATGGCATGAAGCGATATTAACTCCATAAATGACCATCTGTCATTATTTTGCCTTGTCGATGTGGAGCTAACGTGAAAAGGAAGTCAACGGTTTGTGTACGTGCACTTACGATAAAGGGAGACAATTTGAGGAGAGGTAACTCTTGTATGACAAATGTTCCGTCAAAATGTTATGTTCACAGCAATGAAATATCAAGTGTTCTATTCACTGCAATGAAAAAATCACTTTTCACAACTTCGGAAAACTCGTAATTCAAAGGTTTTCACACAGATTGTACTGTTAAACCGATGTAAGTTGAGAGTTCGAGAAGCACAATAACCTCAAAATGTTTGAGCTAGGGTGAAAACAAATGCATTGAGTAAAGACATCCAAATTGTGAACCATAAGAGAATCTAATATAATACTATTGGAATTAAAGGAACACGAGATTAACAAATGCATCAGTGCATAAATAAACATTTATTACTACAGGAATACATTGCATTAAACACACCTGGATCCGAGATCATAAACAAAATTGAAGACCAAATTTTGTCTTATATCGGGGAGCATGTTGCTCAATCTATGAGAATAACTTAAGCCTGAGACAAAATGTGATTCTGAAAATAATAAATACAATGCGACAGGTGGGCAATTGTTATGTATGATGGTATAACATTTAAGGTAGATTATTCAATGAATGAAGATTCAAGTTGACTAATTTGTAGGATAGTTAATTTTCATTTCCACTATGTCCGTTTTGTTTGCTCTTTTATCAACATTCTGCTCCGCTAAATCCTCTGGAGCTCCTTCCTAAATATTTCCTCCTCTGTTTAAATTTGTGTTGGCGGTTGCACATCCAGAGTGACTGTGTTGTTTCTGTTGGATAAGAAGAGGTCATCCATTACCATTCTGGCCGTGTCAATGTCTATCCTGTATCCACTGCTGCTGAAATATGAAAATAAGAAAATTTATTATGATTCAGTATCAAACACGTCGTAAATGCTGTATATGACTTACACATGGTGTATAATATTTTCTTTGGTTGTTGTTTAACGTCGTATCAGTTACATTATTTCCCAATGTATATTTCTATTGAACATTAAATTATATACGTAAAACATATAGTATTGACGTTGTAAAAATTAGCTTGTAGTATCTGGAAATTAAGTCCACAAAATCATTGAAATTGCAAGAAATAGTAATCTCATTGTCAGCCTGTCATATGACAAAGTAAACAATTCTATTAATCGCATTTTGTTGTTCAGACATAACCATGCGACTTGGATTATTTTGAAAATGTCATGTAACCTATCACTTTCTTTGCAGGGTAGTTCATGACCTACACCTATATTTTGTTTTAGACATCATAATGTGTTCAATTTAAATAAATAACCAGCTATATGATGGACATGTAATTTCAGTTCTACCTTCATTATCAATGCCTCCTTCAGTGCCCCCCAAAATTGGCCTTCCCTTCACGTTGTCCAACACCAACTGCTCTCGCAGGGTAGGTGAGGCTAGCCGAGGACCCCCGCTTGTTTAAACACTCGCTGCAGCACTCCTTTTAACCGAGATGAATTATGTTAAGAAAACATTTAGATCACACATAAAAGAAATTGACTGATTGTTTTCTAAAATGTCAGGAGGATATTTACAAATTTGGTCATCAGATGTAGAAGAACTTCCCATAAAAAGCTGATCAAATCATCAACATGTTTTCATGCCAGTTGACTCCAGGAAAATCAATGAATGTGTTTCATTATCTGATTATGATGATTATTGGTTGAGTAGTTACAGTCATAAATCCTAGAATATTTGTCTAACAAATATATTTACTGATGAGTATACCAAGGTAGACTGATAAATACATGGAGTACATATGACCTGGATGTGTGGAAAATTAAATAATGTAACCGCTTCTGTAAAACAATCCAAACATGACAAATATATCATATAAAATGGATGATATTGAAGACAGTGTACAAAAAGTCAAGTCAGATGTGAAATTTCACTGAATATACATTGTAACTGTTCATTGAATGTTATTTAAAAAGTCAATGGTGAAGTACAAGTTAAAGACTTGAGGAAATTGCTGCATTCACAAGAAATAGGAAGTCAATCTGCCTCTGGAACCATCATCCTACAGTATGACATATGACTCAAGATGGCGGATGTTGCTGCTTGTATTTGATGATACAAAAAACATGAAAGTTGATTGGAACAAGTGTTCATGTTGTTTATATGAAATTGGCCTTGCTGCATGTATAAATGTAGACTGTAACAGGTACTGGATTGTGATATTGTTTTACGTTTCTGTCATGCTCACATCAATTTCATTTCTTTAAATTCTCGAAATTCCATATCATCATATCAGTAAAACCAATGTGGGGTTACATGTTAGAACGTATGACATTATCTTGATTCTGGTTTCATGATAGGTGTTGAAAAATGTACCTTTTCCTGATCTTGAATTCCTTTTTATTTTTATTCAAATCATTGGTGATTTGAACATAGATACACATTTCGCCTGTATCACAGATCAAGCTTTCGATCGATATTTGCAATAACTCTTCACATGACTTACATTTCCGTTGCGCTGTCCTCTGGCAGCCGTCGAATTTGCCAAGAGTATCGCATCCCTTTTGGTCACTTCCTCAATCAACACCACTTCTTCAGCCCTTGTCCAATTTTAGCTGCGTTTCTTCTCATCCACGTTGACAGGTTGACACACCTGATGATACGCGACAGCTGTGTTTACAAACAAACCGACTTCCGCATCTCTCTTGACTGAAGAGGTCTCGAGATTACCGTAGTACGCTATAACGTGCCTGCGTCCCTATGACGGCGGTATCAGACTTATACTTATATACGATTTTCCAAAGGTCGTATCATGACCCAGTTTAAGATCTAATCTAAGCTTAGCAAAATCGTTAAAACGTAAGACAAAATTCATTTCAGCTGACATCACATTCATGATCCCCGGGCCTTGCACAATATCGCGACTTGACACCTTGAATATCCAGCCTTTGGACCAAGAAGAAATTTCTCTGTGGAATCGGAAAAAATATATCCGGATTTGTCTTTGGTTTGTCTTTGGTACAAATATAGGTGGAGACAAAATACTTCGTATACGCATTTGGGTATTATGTATTCAACATTAACATCAAAATTGAAAAAGCTTAAGCCCCATGGCATCTTTTCTTATGAGCAAGGTTCTCTGTCACATTAGTAACGTCATGATCATTTCCCCATCGTCCTTGGATGTGAGGTGAAAAGGGGTTTAACGTCACGTTTAAGATTATTGCACTTATAAAGCGACGTGCATGCACGTGTGTGTGGCTTCTTGTACTACTCAGGACTAATGCCGATTTTATAGTGCTAGCCCGCTGAGATACCATGCCCCAGTTTATCAGGAATACCCAACAAGTACCATCTTTTAACGTCTTTTGGAAGACTCAGCAGGAGATCGAACTCCGGACCTTCAGCCCACTGGGCGGACACTCTACCACTGGACCACAGGTGGTCTCATCGTCGGAAAAGAAACTGGTAGCATATATCATACGGTCGTCCCTTAATCATCTGGACGCTGCAATTTAAGTTGATGTGAATAACTGTACAAGAGAAACAATATTTATGACAGTAACCGCAATGTTGTCCACAGTTAGATGCATTTTAATCCTGATACCGTATATTTCCACTTCACAGATGTTGAGCGTGTCATCATGGTCAGCGGCTATCCCCTGGTTCCTGATGGTGAGGTATCTGCCCCTGCCGTCACACACCAGGTCGATCACTGAGTTGTTGACAGTGACAGGGAAGGTGTAGCAGAGTGTCCCGTCAGTGGTGTTGTCATTACTCAGGTGCACGGTGCAGTTAGCTATCCTGTTTAAATCTGAAGTTTACAAAAGAACATGAACATCTGCATACTGCGTAGTTGTGGCAAAAACAATAAAATATATTTAACATTTGTTAAACAGTCCGCATCAAACTTGTACAGACAAGATACGTTTGAAGCGAACATTAAGTTGGTAGTGATACATAAGAAAATATTCCAATCTAATAAAAAAACAGATCTTAGTTAGCTACCGCCAAACAGAGGTCTGAGGATATCCCATTACGGGTCACGTCAGGAAGACTTTTAATCCAACCAATCAGAGCGTCGCTTATCAGATCTGGAAAGTGGCGGTCGGAATGTCATTTCTAATTAGACAACCTCGAAAAGGATAACAGGGGATAATCCGAACGACAATTACGGCCTGTACGACTAATTCCGTCACAATCATCGTCTATCTCTCGCTTCAGTGGGATAAACATCTGAACGGAAGAGACGTTTCATAGTACATGGGAAGTACTCCCATACAATCTTGACCATATATAAGATATTCCAGAACATCCTTTTTGCTTAGTCTGAAATGGAAGTCGTCAGTCTGAAACGTGTGCTATAAAGCTCGCGAAAGCTGCTATCTTGATTGGCTAATGTCGACATCGTGTTATTCATTTCATTGGTCGGCCAAATTTCGCAAAAGGTCGTTCTGACGTGAACCATAATGGGGTGTCCTCAGATCTTTGTTCAGCGGCAGGTAGATCTGATTTTAATGAGATTGGATACTTTGCAACTAAAGCGCTCACTGCGATCGTTGTATTTTAGTACTGTGACGTAATAAAGGTGACATCATAGATAGAGATTCCATGCTCTCTCATGTCCTTGATATACACGGATGAGGTTTATTTGTATCGCCACTAATGATTTGCCTGTTCTAGAAAACACAAATCGGCATTTTGTAAACGACATTTAGTAAAAACCTTTCAACTACTTGCCGACCAGAAAGCACTAATCCGTAACCAGTTCAATCAATCAGTAAAGTATTCATACACAGTGAAAATAGTCCGTGTTTCCGGGATTTGAATCCCTGTTAACGTTTTCCACAATCACATTGTGCCCCGTACAATTGTTGCACCATCGCAAATAGCATCGCTGCGGAATTCGTGCGGTGCAGAAACCTGTTCAATGATTCTAACATGTGAATGTGAGTCTTACAAACCCAGTTGACCATTATTTAACTTTTGTATGAAGGTTATAGAATAATACACGTCGTAAAAATACATGCATACAGAAACACACACACACACACACACACACACACACACACACACACACACACACACACACACACACACACACACACACACACACACACACACACACACAAACACACGCACACAATATTATTACAAAGATTGTTTATATGCAATGTTCTGTTATTTCAGTACGTCTACAGATTCAAATCTAACATAAACATGCAACATACGTATATCCCTGTGGTAGACTGTAACATGACGTATCCTGTACTGCCGTCCCAGGTCCACCTTCCACATAGCCTTGTAGTTAATATCAGAGTGGAAGCAGGAGCCGCCATGCATGTACTGGTTCCTGTTGCCGTCCACAGCCTTGTCTGGAGACCAGCTGACACCATATGACCAAGATGTAGAGGTGGCTGTCTTGTTGAAGGCCACGTTTTCTGCTCGTCGGACACAATGATAATTATTACTCGACACAATCGAACACGTATCATCACTATTTGATAGTGATTCATAAAATCATGCTCATGATATCGTCGGAATCGTACACATCATGACAAATCTTCCTGTAAATGTTATGCGGCATGTTATTCATGGATCATTTCAATTGGCGTTTTCAAAACTAAAATGATTTATATTTATCTATCTGACTAGTTACTGGTAATTAATACTGTTCGTAATAAAGTTTTATAGATACACTACTGCCTAGAAGTTCATTCCCCTTACAGGCATGGGCAACGCGTTACGCCACCCGTGTGCACCCCGTTGGTCACTCGTGTGTAACCCGTCCGCCACGCCCGTGCCACCCGTGTGCAACTCGTTGAACACGTTGACCAAAGGAGGACCCATGTTAAGCTGAACTTGGAGGTGATAACAAGGAGAGAAATTTTTGATATCCTGACGAAAAATGTCAATACACATTTTATTATATGTAATTGCTGATGTCTCATTTTTAAATGTGATATTGTTGGAAAATATGAGCACTGCTGTGGCTTCTACGTGATGTTTTGCGATAGTGTTAAGAGAATACATGATCCTGGTAAATGTTATTGCTATTCAAATGTTTTTTTGTGATTTGACATTAAACGTCTGTAGTACGACTTTCAGTGATCATGTTGATGAGACTTAGCGGATCATTGTTTTATTGGACCCAAATTAGTTTATGATGGTCGGGTCCCTTTGTCTCAGCTCCATAGCCGTGACGCTGGGAAAGGACAGCATTTATTTAACGAGAGAAGGTTAAATCATGGAGGATACACTTAAAGGAGCGGGTTCCACTAATCACCGTACCACAGGAAGAGACCTGTAGACGTGGGCGCGGGGTTCTGTATAAGATGGCCGTTGCATAATGGCCGCCAGGAGAGGTGAACATTGCGCTAAAGCAGTGTTGTTTTCAAGGGCTTGTTGCATAAATTCCCTGCGCTACTGTCAGTATATCTTCTACTTGATCTTTGATACATCAATTTGGCATTTACAATATATGTTTTTTCAACGTACATTAATAGTTTACTTGTCATATGTTTTCTTCTTTGATATGCATTTAGAAGTTGGAGTACTAAGTGTTAATCAACAAGCACTTACTTGATTATGCTAACTGTATGCCTGACCGATGCTGCCAGTAGAACTTAACCTGGTATAATCACTGATTTTCAATGAACCATCCATAATATTTTCACCTCTATTTGGCCTTTTACGCAAACCCCAACCCTTCCTAAATTCACTGAAAACAAATACGATACCAAGTATTCGCAAATTGATTGAGCATTTCATGTCTTAAGTAATTTATAAGGAGAAGATTTATGGATGAACAACTTCTTTGTTACAATTAAGAGCGACGTTTCGGTGTAGGTTCTGACACCGTTATCAAGCAAGTGATAAACAGAGTTGTTGTTGAAATTAAGTGTTTAAGAGGTCGCCTTCTGCCTAAGCAATTTCGGCTGTCCCGTTCCTCTTTGGGACTCTTGTGTATGAGTAGGGTACACATATCTATTGCGAGTTTGGTATTCACATAATTTCTGTTTTTGTATTGATATGATTTCTATTTTCTTATATTGATATAATTACATGTTTATCCTTGGCTGCTCTGTTTATATACGTTCGAGTAGCTGTCCATCTCTCAGAAAAAGAAAATTCGGTATTGCATCCCTTGGCTTTAGGAGATCCATGACGGATCTGCAATTCTTGTTTTAACCTAGCCCGGGCTGGGGCATTGTCTTGACATTCTAGTAACACGTGAACAATGGTTTCAGCCTGATTGCAAAATGAACAAACTTTGTCCTAGTGCTTTTTGTGACCGAGTCTGAGGCGTGAGATGGCAATATCAATTTTCCTTTCATTTGAGTATTAGTTTGGCCTTTGTTGGATCTTGGGTTGAATTTTGTATAGCCATCTGCCGATCTTACTTGCGTCCCATTGGGCTTGTCATCTTTCTGCTATAGAGGCTTTGATTTTGCTTTTTATCTCTAGTTTACTAAAGGGAATAGGCTGTATATCCGCTTTGTCTAGAGCTAGCTTCGTCAATGAGTCTGCTTTTTCATTTCCATGAATATCTATGTGAGAGGGGATCCAACACAGCTCCACCTGTTGCCCTTGGTCACATTGGGGTCCATCCCATCTCCCCTGTACTGTGTGTGTGTGTGTGTGTGTGTGTGTGTGTGTGTGTGTGTGTGTGTGTGTGTGTGTGTGTGTGTGTATGTATGTATATCATGTTTCTTAATGCTCAATTACTTTTGCTGGAGAATATGTTTCTTGTACAAGCGCTATGGTAAGGTTAAGCTAAATCTACTATATGATATGATATGAGATATGATATGATATGATATGATATGATATGATATGATATGATATAATATAATATAATATAATATAATATAATATAATATAATATAATATAATATATCTTTTGACTGTGAAGTCAACGTAAAACCTATAATTGATGATGATAATATATGAATGTTAATGCAACATGTCAATGTTAATGTCGATGTGAAGATAAATTTGAATACGTTAGACATATTACATGTTATATATTTTAACACCTTTTTAAACGGTAAAATTAGATACATTTAAACGTAAGTAGCATATAACATTTGAAATTGAAAGGTCTACTAAAAATGTAATTCTTATAATAGAAGGTCCATAAGGGTATTTTGAGAGGTACCGCAACTCGTTACGGTTTTTTTGTTGTGTAATAAGAGGATGTTTGGTTGGGGACTAGAGGTATCCTTTCAGAGGGTGTTATTCTGACATACCCACTATTTATTGGAGGATATTGGAAATGAATATAGACTATCATGTTGTCTGACTGCAGATATGATTTGTTATCAAAACAATCACTGGGGGTTTCACATAAGGGGTTGTGATTTGTACAATTGCCCAAAATTGTCCAGCTGAGTATCGGTGCTTGGTGATGCCAAAGGTGACATTTTATTATTAGAGGAAATTTATAGTGAATACTTAATACGATGTCTACAGGATATCTTCAGGGTGTTTAGCCCTTTCTTCCCTTGTATGTAATTCAGATGGAAAGAAGTCACTCAACCAGTAAAAGATCAGACTTGGTTAGAATCCGTGTTTATCTGTGACAACTTCCAAGTAGTGATATATCAGTGAACTTGGCAAGTGGTGATGATGTTTTACATTCATATTATTATAATCTGTTAAATTGTACATACATGTATATGTTAAATCTAAAATATTCAAGGGGACTGTTCCCTACACCCATCAATATGTTAATGAATGAACATTAGTTTATTGTATGGATTATATAAAGATCTCACTAAGTATATGTTTTATATTTTGCGTGCATGAAAGATGGGATTAATTATAAGGGAGGAGGGAAATATGTTCCTAAAAGTTTCCAACAACTCGTGGAGGAAATTGGAAATGGCTGAACCTGTAGATAGCATCAAATCCGTGATAGATGTGACAGATCTCACAGGGTAACATTCAACAGGCTCATTACCTTGCGATCATGTCAACGTTTTTCTTAACAGTTTAGAAAAAGAGACGAAATTTGATGTGAGCTACATTGGAAACTATTGAACAAAACTGTAGACTTTGAAGACATTTTCGCTTATTGTAATAATATCTAGGTAACAAATCATACCTCACTCTGAAATCAATGAGCATATTTGCTGTCAAACCTAAAACCATATTCAGGGCGGCCAGTTTTGACTTGCCAAGTGCCTCAAAGTGAGTGTATTCAAGCATGTCAAAAGCGATTGACCGTACAGTCTCACGGACTGTTATGGGTAGTGATGTATTTTATAATATTACTGGGAAATGTTCAAGTTAGTTACTGTCATTTACTCTAACGTTCTAAATGTCAATCGTCTCAACGGGACCATACGTTTGGTTCTATATCACTTCCCATTCATATAGGTAAATTAAAGCGACAGAGTCGATTGGAAGGCCAGCTCTCTCCGTAATCTCTACATCCAGGGCTAGCATTTCGATAAACCTACACTAAATCCGGGAACCACACCCGTGGTTCTCACAATATTAAATTCCATGCACCTGATTTTCATTAACATTATAACGACCAATCAAACGTGGGAAAAAGAAAATGGGGAAGGGAGGCAACTCGTATTCCTAGAAACCATAGCCACCACCAGTCTCAAAAGACAAGCAGACATCCTTTCCATCTAAAAGATGTTTTAGGGCTTTTTATTTTGCCTGTCATCAGTTTTTCAACGTTGAATTTCACGTAAACACTATCGTAATCAGTGACTGGCCGCTGTGTTGTTCATATCGCCAACCCAACATTGAGGCTTGTTTGTAACTCACATACCGATTGGTACGTTAGACCTTGTAGCGTAGCTAATGATATTGACTGAATGAAATCAAGGGCTTTTAATTTGAGATCGTGAGAACCACTGGGATGGGTCCAGGGGTTAGTGCAGGTTTACCAGAATGCCTGCCCTGGATATACAGAGGATGACCTTCCCCCACATGCCTTGAAGCGCCAAGGATAATGTAGGTTTTTTCTGAATTTGATCATAATAACAAGTCCAGCACCTCACATGGAATCTCTCTAATACCGGGAAGTTAACAAAGTTTTAAATCGGGGCGGCGGAATTTGGACTATCAAACACCCAGGGTACGTCACTCTATATTAATATCACTACCACAACTCAAAATTATTCGAGCTCTCAATCAATGTTCAGTCCCAATAATCATCAGAAATAATTTACAGTATACACTGCCACGTTACAATGTTCAACCTTTTGGTAACCCTTCGCTCTAAATTGGTGTCTAAATCCTAATGTTTTTGTTACTTCAGCAGGTTATGTGTTTCACCTCAGACCTTTCCGAAACTTTCTAAATATTTATGATTTATTGTGTCCGAAGATTATAAGTTATCGATGTTTCCAAAATGAGTGGAAACTTTTTTATTGATAACAAACGACAGAATATAGCCTTTGATTACCTATGGGAT